GCACAGAGAGTAAGAAGCCACGGCGTATTGTGTACAAGCCACAGTTCACTGCTTTGTTTTTTAGATTGTGATGTTTTTTAACTATTTTTGACTTGTTTCTATTTCATGCTTCCAAAATATTATTTTACTCCAATGAAAGGTTTAATGAATGATTTTCAATGTATTTTAGAGTATGAAAACTTAGGATCTCATTTTCTTAATTTACAAACTCGGTAATCTTCCTTGGATTAATCCCTTGATTACCTTGGATCTGAAATGTTATTTGTATTTAGTAAGGGAGATATTTCAGTTGAGTCACATTTATGTTCAAAACTGACATTGAATGTAGTGGTTGGAGATGGTTGGGAAGCCATTAATAATGATATAAGAGTTTAATGAAGCTAATAGGAGCTAAAGGGAGTTGATAAACCTAATTAGTATGCTTAAATGCAAGAGAGTGGGAATTTTGGGTGTTCAAAGTGTATAAATAAAGAGTTGAAATTGTGAATATGGAAATATTGATTATTTATGGTATGATTGTAGATTAATCATTTTAGGTACCATTTGAGCTTGATAGAACTTTGGAAGTGTTTGTTATTGAGGGGTAAACCTTTTATCTCTCAAAGGTTTGAGGTAATCAGGGAAAATTTAGTTTGCGCATTTTCATGTTAATTAGTTATAGATATTTATAACTTATTTTTGAAAAGAACAATATGCTTTAAACATGTGTTAAAATGCAATTGTGGTATGAATTAATTTTTTAAATAATCTTAGTAAACGATCTTGTATATGAAATTTTGATGGATGTCTTGTTTTGAGTGTGACTAAACATGCATGAGAAGTGAGTTATGATAATGTTGTGATGTGAATGAGATTGAGAAAAATTTATGTAATTGTGAAAAATGCATAATGCTATGTGTAGAATTTAATGTGAAAAAGTTTGATGCTTGAGAAATGCATGTTGTGAATTCAACACTTGAGAATTTACATGCTAATAATTTGATAAGTAAATACATGTGCTATGAGTAAGCATGTGTTACATTGCATAATTATATGAGGTAAGAGTTCGCCTAGAGAGAGGAATAGAGATTTGAAATTCATGTGATACGGTCACTATTTAGAACTCGATGGCTTGCTCTTTTATACATATTATCCTACTTGTTCTATAAGGCACTATCCCATGGTTTAATGAAGGACTCGAACCTAACTTGTTTTCACTTGTTCAATGAGGAGGGTAGCTTAATTAGGGGCACGATACCTTATAGTAATTGATTTGGGGGAAACTATGAACTATATGTAAGTGTTGTAGTCTTGGCTGGGCAGCTCCTTACTAGTGAAAGACTAAGTAGTCTAATCATATGGACAAATCTCATTGCATAATAGCCTATAGTTTCGTGTAAGAGGTATAAGGATGGAGTTGATCGTGCATAACATTATTAAGGTCACGTGGTTATTAATATTATAACCTTTACATGATATGATATTAAATTCACATGATTGATAGTATTGTGACTAAATGATTTGATTTATTGCAAACATGTTAAAATGTGAAATAATTACAAATGCCACTTGCATCATTATAATTGATTGACATACATTTGGATATGTTAGATATACCTTAGTTACTGAGTAGATGCACTCATCCTTTTATCTTTAATATTTACAGGAGCTAGCTCAAGTCAAAACAAAAGAAAAACACCAAAGGCTTAGGATCTAATAATCCTAACTATAGGCCTCTAATATTTGTTTATATGTATATTTTAAATGAAATTTCCAACTAGGAAATCTCATATTTGATTTACTTACACTATTAGTTGATTGGAATTAAATATTGTATTTTAGGCCCTAGGTTGTATATGAGGTGAATGTGATATCTAGATAAGGTCAAAATATTAATACAAGTGAGGAGAATGAATATGTTTATGATTGAAATGAACTATATGAGATTTAACCAGAAAATGTCTCCCCCTACTGTCTTTGATATTACGAGGGTTGAGTATTAAAATTATGATATGCAAATATTGTGAATGTTGTGGTATATTACAAAAGTATTATATAGTTTATTAAGTGTGGTTTAAGGGTGAATGGAGCTTTTGACACTTGGTTGCAAAATTGGACGCCATAGTTGTGGCTTAAATGTAAAAAGTAGTAAGTTTGCAAATGCATATCTAACTTTTATTTGAGAAATGATATGTTAGTAAAGCTAGCGCCATTAGTTAGAACGTTGAAAGAGCTTTCTGTAAACACCCATATCACATCAGTCAAACATCAAGCAGAGAAATGAGACGTTTCAAAAGTTTGTCCTTATTGCTATCAAATTGACAACAATAAACTTGTCATTTTGTGCAATGTGCCATAACGTGTGGCATAGAGAGGGAATGCTACAACACATGCATTACAAGTTACATCACGCCTCTTTTGTATTGTACTAAAATATTGTTTCTCAACTCAAATGCAATTGTTTTAATAGTATATTGGTCTCCCATGCTTTCATACCTATTGTTACTCTAATTTGAACTTCTTGGAACTTTATTAAGGTGTTTTAAAGTTGCAAAACTTGGGATCCTAAATTTTAAAAGGATTTTATATGTGATTTTAAGATGCTAGACTTGTCTTCAAATGTATCAACCATGGATAATCCATCCAGGTTAGTCTCGTGTTTATCGTAGAGTGATAGTTATGTGTTGAATTTGTAAGGGCAACCTCTTACACTTTTAGACTTATAGTTTATGGGCCAATTTGCTCATTTACTCCTTTTTTTATTAAGCATTTTGTAATTGAATTTGAGATACGGTCAAGTATTAAAAGCATGCATCTCTTCCAATGAGGATTTAAATTTTATGTTCGTTATATTGTGAAGGACTAGTCCCTTTCACTAGACCTAACTCCAATGTTATTTTTCATCTCTTTTATAACTTAGTAGAACAATAAGTAACAAGTTATAAACAAGACGTTCCATTTTTTGGTTTTCATGATAAATTTTATTTTGTTTTTTTATAACACAACAAAAAATTAAACACAATCCCAAATAAATTTTTTTTTTCACAAATCAAAAACTTGTTTTGAAAAGAGTGATGTCTTACTTGGCTTAAGACTAGGATATGTAATTTAATAAAGCTGTCAATTAGGGCCAGCTCAACCCTAAAGGGCCGGCCCTTGAAGAGCTAGGGCCTAAACGGGCTGGCCTTAATAAGCTCAATTGCATGTCAAGGTTTCATTTTATAAGGCTCGGCCCTATTTTTTTAAAATTTTTTTCCAATTAAAAATTATAAAAAATATATTTATAATCATAAGAAAAGTTATTATTCATATAATTACGTTTAAGAAAATAAATTTAAATCAATTTACACCACAACAATAAAGAAAACTAAAACTTTTAGGTCTAATATCAAATAGTAACATCAAAGTGAATACTAATAAAAATTAAACTTAGATAATATTATCAGTTAAATCTTAATAAATAAATGAGAGATGAATGAATGCATTTAATATATTCATTTCTTTGAGTTATGTATTTAATCTTTTATTTTTTATATTATAATTTTAAAAAAAAATAATAAAAGAGCCTAAAAGGGCTGGCCCTTTTATTTTCGGGCCTAAAAGGGCCAGACCCAATTTACTTTTTTAAAGGTAAAATAAAAGCTCGGCCCTCAATTTTTTCGAGCCTAAAAGGGCCGGCCCTACGGGCTTAGTCCTAATTGACAGCTTTATAATTTAACATTTAAGTATTGACCCTGGCTTTCAAACAAATTAAAAGAATGAAGTATTAATTAATTAACTTAAAAGCTATATGTCCTAGTACTTGGTGGTAATATGGCAAGAGGTCCAGTGTGACGACATGAACTATGATGGAGCGAGGATGTACATGGTTGTTTCTTTCTTGGTTTGTTCGTTGGCGAAGAATGCTATGTCAAGGTCCAACAACATGTTTCTTCATGCACGAGCTCTCTTTCTTCGGTCATGCTAGCTGTCAAGGAAAAAGGCCAAAAATTAAAGAGAGGTAACTATTCGCACTTTCAACTCTCCCTCTCTTTTTATCTCCTCCTTTCTTTGAGGGATTTGGCAAATAACACGAGACGGAATTGGATGACTAACGTTGTGAATAAATATGCTGTCAAAAAATCTAAGTTCAGCCTATCGTTTGATCCACACAGCTAGCCAACATCAAGAAGGGGAGCGTATCATATGTATGTCTGATTCCGAGGCGGCATAATTAATCATTGGACACACATGTTTAGGTCGGAAAAGGAATATATTTGAGCATTCAAGTTGGGTTTCTTTAGTGATTTGTTTGGCAGTGTTTCTTAAGGCATAGGAGGCCTATGACCCAGGAATTGAGGAGAAGATGATTCATCAAGCACGTGTATGTGCTAATTATAACCATATGTCTCTCTTTAGCCGTGCATTAAATAAGTTTCGTGCCATCAATTTCTCGCTTATTTCTTGTTTGTGCCTGAGGGGGGGATGGAATGAATATATCCAGTTAAATTTGCCCCACATCACTCACAAAGTCACACGTAAGCCTGAGGATATTACATCTTTAATAAGGTTTCTGTTATAAATTATTTGAGATATACTCTTTTCTTATTCATAGAACAGAAGAGAAAATGTTTATTTTAATCTTATTTATATGACACCTCAATCATTATTATATGTATCTTTATTATTTTGTCCTTATTAAATATAGGAAAGTTTATTAAATGTTAGAGTATTTGACTTTAAAGTGGGTATATTTAATAGAGATAAAATTAAAAACTTATTAAATTTTTAAATAAAGTTAATGAAGTTTAAGTTTTTTTTTTGTTTTGGTGAAAATATTATAACTGATTTATTAATAGACTCAAAGAGAATATACTCTAATGTTAATTTATTAGATTATACTATATATATGCGCCTCAAGAATCTATAGTTCACATAGTGCGTTATTGCGAAGTATGAAGAGTCTTGAATGAGCTGTAGAAAAGATAAAAGGGGGAAAAGGGGGCGTGGAAGCCAAAGAGAAATATTTGTCGGGGCGAGACGCGATAGAGAGAGAGAGAGGGAGGCTAGCTAGATGCGTGGCTTGGGGTAAAGCTGTTAAAACGGGAAGCTAAGCCTACTGAGATCCAACTGCTTAGCTTCATCAAGCTTTTGGGTGATACACTCGGTGTTGTGAGCAGGGCTTCATTTTGTCTTCACTTTCTCGCTCTCCTTCAAGCCCATCCCTATATTTAACCCCTCCCCCCAATTTCATCATCACTCGGAATTTCTCTGCCTATCTATATATCTAGCCATCTATCTCTATCTAATTTCTATATCTTAAGTAAATGTCACCAACAGAGCCATGGCTCCTCCAGAGATTGCCCTCGCGTCCATGACCAGACACCCTCCCAATCAGCCAAACCCTAAAATGTGGAACCCCGAAGAAGATGACTCCTGGGAGGTCAGAGCTTTTGCGGAGGACACGCGAAACGTCATGGGAACCACTTGGCCCCCCAGGTCCTACACCTGCACCTTCTGCAGAAGGGAGTTCCGTTCCGCCCAAGCTCTCGGCGGTCACATGAACGTCCACCGCCGTGACCGGGCTCGCCTCCACCAAGTCCAGCCCAACTCTTCGATCATAATCCCAGCGCAAGACCTCGTTCCTAATAATGGCTTGTGCCTTCTCTATCGTTTACCACCAGCGCCTAATAATCCCACCTTTGCCTTCGCCAACACTGGTCCTACCCCAACTGATCCCAGTGCATTTGCTGAATCACCTTCCTCTCTCCTCTCCATCTCGCCCTATCCACCCAACAAGTTCGATTTTTCTGTGCTGCGCTCCGGCTGCAATATTTCCTCTTTCTCTAATAACTCCACCGAAGTGGAACTGCCCACAACCAACTCCTCCGATGACGGCAGCGAAGAGCTCGATCTAGAGCTCCGGCTAGGCCACGGGCCAACACCGACCTGACAAAGCCTGAGTAATTATTGGTCGTTGTGCATGAGATGCACAAAGGTTGAGTCAATTTATTATAAATTGATAACTATTGCTCCTTAATTTGCAGCGTGTAGAGAAGACTTGCTTTGTTGACGCCCGTGTATTACACTGCCAACTATGCCTGCCTCTCGTAGGCTTTTTCTGGGTATTTTTTGGTTCAATTTCTCATTTTTGTTGGTTGTTACCAAAATTATTAGGGTGTGATTAATTATTATATTTGTTTGTCACGAAAAGGTGCTTGTGGAAGAGATTAAATTTGGGGCAGAAGAAGGAGGAAGCGGCTGAGGAAAGGAGATGGCACCGTGTAAATTTTTAGAGTTAAAAGAAAAACAAAAAGATGTAAGAAGTGTTAATATTTCAGGATCAAAAAGAAGAGAAGATTAGGGTTTTGAAGGATGGAGACTGATAATGGTTGCAGTGCAGTGTCATTTTCCATTTCAGGTGTCTCAGTACATATATACAAGTCCGTCTGAATATTCGTTTCCGTGAGAATTATATATTTTCTAGCACTCCGGTAATTAAGTAAATCATGGTTTCACACCTCGCGTTCAGAGGAAACTACAACATTGCCATTTTCCATTTCGCTTCGTTCTGGTTTTTTTTTTCCCTCCCGAGTATACATGTGTGCCTGGCAGAAGAGAGAAGAACATTTATGTGGTATGCACGGAGTAGGATGAAGTGTTTCATTTATTTACCTTTTCGACCTAGGAACTAAAAGAACGAGCGAGAAATTATCATCTAATTCATTATAATATCCATGAAGAACCGTTGATCGTATTATAGAGTGAAATTAGCCCTTAACGATCTTGCCTGTTGATCAATACTGAGATTATAAAGGATGCAAGCTATGAGCTAAGCTTTGGACTGATAAAATGCTATTTGATTAGAATTTTCCGAAAATATTGCAATAATAGTGCAACTATATACATTGCCGTAGACATTTATCAGTTCGCCTTCTGTTTTTGGTTTATAAGAAACAACATATTTTAGTCCAATTAAGACTCTTTACTCTAAATCAACCTTTTGAAGTGATGATGACTGCTCTACTCTAATATATTTTCATCTATGATCTGACCTTCTTGACTGAGTCCACATCATCTAGCGTTCCACTTTGCGACCGATCAACTTTGTAATTCAATTATTCCTTGAAACTTTGTGTGATCGATAGTAATCATGCAATATATATTATACAAAAATATATAACATATATTTGATTTGCAGTTTCGTTCGTGCCCGATCCTCAGTCAATCTTTAATATATCGTTATTTATAAGCGGTGGATTATTTCAGTATCATTCGTTCAGGCCTATTTATCACTTCCCCAGTCCTATTTATATATAATGTCTTGCAAGTACAAATAGTTATCGTTATTATTGAAGGCTGTAACAAAAATTGGAATAATTTTTACATTTTACCCTTAATTGAGAAAGCATTACATATTTCATTTATAGTGAGGGTATAATTGAAGGGTTGGAGTTTAAGTTAATTAAAAAAAACAATACAACAAAATTTTTTTAATTAAAGAACGTGAAAGATATTTTAAACACCTGGTAAATAAGACCGGAGTAAATATATTGTAGGGTTAAGTGCTCTGATCTTTTTCATAATTGTTATCTCCAGCCAATGTTTTTCTCTGGTAAACTAAAGTGCTGAATTGCGTACACTTTTGCGCACCGACGCAGCTCGATCTCACCTCCCTTATTGATGTATACAACATCAATCTCCACGTTTGGGAGATTTTTAGAGCTGGATCACACATGCTTCTGTTATATATACTAATAACACCCTAGTTTTTCAATTTTGTGAGCGTGCGTTAGTGAAAAAATATACTCATAAACGGTCCCCATCCCTCCAACAAATTGAGGGGAAAAAAAAACGTATGTACAGCAAATACTCAAGTAACTGGCTGAAATGCCAGAGTGGAATATTATCTCCTTGTAATACGTGCAATCCAATGTGCGTGTGTGTGTGAGTGGGAAAATGAACAAATACTTTAATTCCATGGCGGGATAATATGTAATTTCTTAGGAATATTGGATAACCCCACATCAAGTCCTTTTACAAAGGTTCTAATAGCAAGGCCGCAGTTTCACACGTTCAATTTCCCGTTATAATCGTGCCAATTAATTAATTTTTTTTCCTTTTTTGCATTCTGTTTTGTCTATTTGACATACCAATTTCACACACACACACACACACACACACACACACACACACACACACACACACCGAGCACAATAATACGTCTAAAGACATGTCAATTAATATTTGGAAAGCATACAAGATTCTCCTTGCACAATATTAGCCAGCAGAGTGAAATGTCATCGTTAGACTTCATTTTTTTTTTGCCCCCTTTTGTTCCTCTGACTTGGTGCTCAGATGTAGAAAATGACGTTGTCAAAAGTGAAAACTCAATCTGGAAAATCAAATTTTGCGAAAACAACCTTCCACTTGAGTGATCAAGCGCTCATCGTGCGTGTTGATAATAAACCTGATGCCACCTGAGAGTAACTCATACGGTAAAATCTCTAGTAGGATAGATAATCTAAAAAGGGCGGAGAATTCAAACTTTCACTATACTCCCTCCTATCCTATATATAATTAGCCTTCTAGAAATAATTTATGATTCTTCTTACAACTTAGTTTGTATTAAAAAGTGGATCATTAATGAATTTCTTTTAATTATACCCCTCCACAGCTTTTTATAAGTAGAAAGTAAAAAGTTATGTTAGAGAGAAAAGGTTTTTGAAAATGATGCATTTATTGAGGGTAAGATGAAAAATTTCTTTCTTTTTAAAACAATATCAACAATCTAACTATCTTTCCTTGATTTATATTTGTGTGTGCTGGGAAAATTGTCATGTCTCACAATATCCATTTTTTTTTTCCGGAGGAGCTAGTGAGGATTGTTTTTATGGATTATATTATTATTTGGTTGGGTGGCAGCGTACAGAATGATGGCGAGGAAACGGTAAAGTTTCAGATTAAGCAGCGGAGAATGCGTAAAGATGAAGGATTTCTTTTTCCATTGGGCAGCAAAGCAAAGTGCAGTGAGTCGGCTGCCGAGTGCTCCTTTTCTTCCACTAGCTAGGCCTGCACTTGCAGATCTCTACTTCCTTCACAACCCGCCCCTTCAAATTATTCATTCATTATAATATTCCTCTACTTCATCCTTCTTCGACAAAATTAATCCCCCACGTAACACGTTTCCAGAACAGAGGTTTCCTGTGGCCTTCAGCGTTCCCTCTCTAAAGCTCCCTATTAGAGATACGGACGTGAGATTTCTTTGTCTATGATATTTCCTCTACTAATTTTTTTTTTCCTTCTTGCTAGGCTTGTACTTTTTTTAATTCTCGGACACCTAAGGTCCATATAATCTTCACCCTCATTAGTTTACTGTCAATTAATCTGCAGTTTCGCAAAGCTTCGATTCATCATCATCACATGCGCACGCCAAATTAAGGTGAAGCATATGATTTATGTATTATTGTTGGGGACCAATTCGTGGAACATATGCATGTGTTGCTCCTGCTAGCTATTAATCCGCCCACATTCAAAGCGCTTGCTATAACTAGTGACTACATATATGCGCCCTCATGGCTGGTCCAAAGTCCAGGCGATCGAAAATAAAGTAACTTCAATATCGAGGTTTCGTCTGAGTCATCAGTTGATATATTTGCTTCGGTTCATTGATGATGTCATTTTTCTTATCAACAAACGGCGTGGTGGATGTGCATCTTGTTGTGGACGTCCATACATATCAATACACATACAGACATGCTTGTACAAATAATTATATATATACCCATGTTGTGCCAGCTTTTATTGGTATCGAGTATATGAACTCCGAGGGACAGGTCTGAACCATGGAGGTGAATCAATTTTTACTTATAATACGCTGCACGTCCAAGTTTGACCCTTTGCTAGCTGACGTGATAAAATGAAAACATGAATGCGCTTCTGATAAAATTTGTGTGTGTCTTTATTCAATTATTTTAGGAGTTAAGGGGGCGGGTAAGACAAATTAAAGGGTTAACTCAAAAGAAAGAGGGGGCAAAAAGCAGATTAGAACAACAACACATCAGCAATATCCAGCAATATGAGCATGCGCTTTTATACTTACAGTAGTGACAACGTAGCAGTGCAAAAGGCAGTGTTAAATTTTCATTTGGCACTAAACAGAGACACCCCCATAATGTGTCTGTTCGACTGTTCCTATCACTATATATTTTGGACCACAGGATATTTACTATGTCCGACCTCTTTAGTATTGCAAATCCCAACTCAATGCGCCCACCAATATCGTAGGAGACCTCACGCTCATCACTCACCTGGGCCTCACAACACTCAAATAAATTATTCGTCTCCATAAATTGCTAATGTCAAACTTAGACACTTGCATTCCACGAAGATTTTTTATTTCTTAAAATCATATATGTAGGATGTAAAAAATATAAATCATTCATTAAAGTAAGAAATACATTAAAAACCATGTCAATAAATAGTAAATAAATGATATGCTACAAAAAATAACAATGCTCTCACCCATTTCGCTTTTATGTAATGTATTTGATTGATTTCACAATTCCATTTTTTTTTTTCCTGACTAATTCAATCCTCTCCGGAAGAGAACTGTCTCGCCTACAATTGATTTGTGAATATAAAGACACATGTTTTGATTTGCATCGAGCTGGATTCTAGCCTCCCAATATTAGCCTACCTCACACTTGGTTTACGTTATGAATGACTTTGTATTATTGATGAGTGAATGCAGAGAAATTTCAACCCTTGAATTCGTGGCTCAAACTCATTTATATCAAGATATAATAATAATTTCCCACATTTTCAGAAGATAAACTGAAACACGTATTAAATGTAAGAAAATAAGTACGTTGACGGAAAACTACCCGGGGCAGTCGTGAATTTTCACACCGAAAACGAAATAGATTTGGGCATCAGAAATCTTGAATGAATGGAATAGTAGAGGCGAGACGGGCTATATATATAAAGAGTACGGAGAAGAGTGGAAGAAAAGGGGGGTTCGATGGTTAGCTGAAAAGAGAAAAACCAGAGACGAAAAAATTAGAGGGAGTGAGAGAGGTTCTGACAGACGTAATTCACAGCTACCTGTCAACAGAAGAGGAGGATATGCAGGGAAGGCAAGTAGATGTGAAGATCTAGCCCAATCCAAATAGGAAAAAGTTGGTGGTGGCTGAAAAGGCAGATACGATTAAAGAGAGAAGCGCTCCGTGGTCGGGTCAAAGGGTCACGGCGGAAGCACACGCGTCCAAATAAAAGAGGAGGCCAGTGATCAGGGCCGGGGTAGGTGCTGTAAAACCTTTTATCACTGAGAGAGAGAGACTTGGTAACGAATAATGATGGAGCCTGGAGGGGGGCGTCTTGAGTCTTGAGTCTTGATCAAGTATGTGTATGACCATACAGGAGCAGAGCAGAAGTGCAGAGAGAGAGCTTAACGTAACCTTGTCGTGGACCCCAGGGGACGCATTGCCGGACAGGGGAGCCAGCTAAGGGGAGCACACACATTCATACATGTAGGCTCTGTGATCTGCATCACTATTCACTACTGTCCTTGGTCCCCCTCCTCCCACCCATGAATTCAGTGTCCCTTCTCTTCATCAATTACTTTTTTCATTTAAAAATATAAAATATTTTTAATTAAATTTTATTTTTTAATAAAATAATTATTTATTTTAAATTAATTTTATTTTTTTATATTTATTTTTATTAAACACCCTATAATAAATATAAAATTATTATTAATAAAAATATTATTTTAAAAAAATAATAATTACATCTTAAAAGATTAAAAATATTTTATATTTTTAACATAGATTGCGTTCTTATTTTGTAATTTATAGTATTAACCTAACACGGCTGAATAACGCACGAACAACATGATGAATAGACCCGGGATTCGGACGGCTCAACGGGATAGGATATTGAGGTTGAGTCAGGGTCAGTGTCCTTTTCGCCGCATGGCATCTCCCCCAATCTCTTCATCTCATTTTGCTTCGTTTGTGGCCTGTCATCTCCTCAGGCTGGGAATCGTTTGGGTTGGGTTTGGAAGTTCTATGGGCTTTTCGGCGAAAGGCCCGTGTCCGGCAATTGATGTGGCTGACCCCCAACAAATATCTAGATTTTGCACCCGAGGAGGCGATTCTTCGACACGATGGCTTCCATTCCTTCCGAAAATGGAAAACACAACGCGTCTCCAGTCTGTTATGATGGGCTGTCGATACTAATGTCTTTTGGCAAAAAGAAAAAAAGAAAAAGAAAAAGATATTAATGTCTTCCAAAATCCAAATAACATTTTTTTCACTAATTACCATGAATCGTCTGATGCCTTGAACTTTTTTCTTTTACCAACGGCCGACGTCGTGAAAATTGAAAATTATTCGGCCCGAAAGAATCCAACACCTGGATGGCTGTCAGTGTATCCTCTTTTGCAAATCCCAGTTTCCCATCAAAACGACGTTTCAATATATTCAGGAAATAAGAATGAAAGAGTATTCTCCTCGTTAAATGATCAGCAAGATATATATTAAAGGACTTGTAACAATCTATATGTATTACAAAGAAAAAATTAAAATTATATTGAAGGACCAAATTGAATGGCAACCACTTGACTGGACTTTTTTTTATTTTGACCAACAATTGACGGGACTTAATGTGCAGTTTTACTGTTTTAGTGCACAACTTCTCAATCCGAAGAAAATAATATAAAGGGTAGCACGGTTGAGATTACAGTTGCTTATTAGAACCACACGATTGTTGATTTACACGATTGTTAATTTGTTTTAGCCTTTTAGGCGCAGAGGACAGGAATCGAAGTGGAAACTGGGTCGATATCCGAGCAGGCACGCCAAGTAAACTGAAGGCGGAGTTTTCCATCAGTTTCAGATTAAGAAGGTAGGAGAATCAAATCGGCCGAGAAAGTTGTGAGTGCCAAACACTGCCTCGTAGATTCGTTGTATCTCGTATTGATCAGCGTTCTGGTTATTTATTAGCCCGATCGGTCAATAGCGGTAGGGTTTATCTGTGTTCTCTGCGAATAGTGAATAGCTATCTAGTTACCATGTCTTCCGGGTCAAGCGTGAAAGAAACATTGGGCGACCTCAACAGGGATTCATTCGTGTCCCTTCTGACGAAGCTCATTGGCGAATCCAAGTTCGTGCAGAACAACCCGCCGGACCTCATCCCGGAAGAAGACAGAGTGGTTAAACACGTCTTGGATGCTCTTCTCCCTTGGAGCACCAAAACAGGCGGCGGACCTTTGCTCATCAATCACGTCACTTATTTCCCCGGCAGAGGTAATCTTATTATCGAGTACCCTGGAACCGTACCTGGCAAAATCATCTCTTTCGTCGGATGCCACATGGACGTCGTCACTGCTAATTCTAACGAATGGGTAACCCCCTCCAACTTCTTTGCTTTACTTCGTGTCTATCTTTCAATTGTCGTTTTTTATGTCAGAAGCCCCCTGGTTACTCTAATCATGTATAAAACACAATTGATCAGTCTTTCAACGTAGAAAATGCCTTAATTTAGCTTCAATGTCTTAAATTTTTGCGAACTTCAGAATAATTCCGTTGGGTTTTTGGTTCTGACCATCGTAATTGATATGGTTCCTGGTCATATCGATTTCGTTACTGCGTCCTACGATTTACTTCATGAGAAAGTCGCTGAATGTTTCTACACTTCATATTTCGGGTGTCATTTATACTTCAAAATTATGCACCATCTCACGAGTATAGTTCTATTCTCCATCACATAAGGGGGAAAATGACATATTTGGCACTTGGAAGTTATACATACGAAATTTCAACCTTGTAACTGAATGTCAAACAGGATTTTGATCCATTTACACTGAGTGTCGATGGGGATAAACTTCGGGGTCGTGGAACCACTGATTGCTTGGGACATTGTGCCCTTGTAACTGAACTGATGAGGAAGCTTGGGCAAGAAAAGCCTAATTTGAAATCAACTATTGTTGCTGTTTTCATAGCCAATGAAGAGAACTCTTCCATATCTGGGGTTGGTATAGATGCACTTGTGAAAGATGGCCTTCTCAACAAGTTAAAAGAAGGACCTCTGTAAGTGCTTATTATCTTGTATGTCCGCATGTACAACTCAATGATAAACCTTGAGATGTTCTCTGTCTGAATTAATGCTGTGGTATTACCCCCTAATAGTTACTGAAAATTCCAACTATATTATCTTTATGAGTTTAATTTCGTGGGCTTTTCGCTCAGGTTTTGGGTTGACACAGCAGATAAACAACCTTGCATAGGTACTGGTGGTATGATACCTTGGAAACTCCATGTCACAGGGAAACTCTTTCATAGTGGATTAGCTCATAAGGTATGCTATTGCATTCTTGTCTAGGTTCATGTTCTTTGTCTGCTGAGTTTAGAAAATATAGTTCACATTTTTTCTATGATGAAGTCACAATTACTAATTCTTTCGTTCCTGGTTTTGTAAGAGCCTATGATATAGGTATGTGAATTCATGTTTCTTTCTTTCCCTGACTTGGAATTTTTAATATGATTATGAGCGCATTAATATTGAGAGATGTCTTTACCCCCATCATGCCACCAAATTTGTTTAACGAAAGATTAACTTATTACATAATAAGGGTTATTTTTGTCTCATTGACCTTCATATGTTAGTATGATTTATTAAAATTTGCCCTTCTCTAAAGATTGTATGGGTACATAAACCCAATATGACATTGGCAACTGTATGCTGCATGCAGTTATTAAATTTGCTTGGCAAGCAAACTTAGATGATAAGAAGCTTGATTCTTTTTGACAAATTTCACCCAATTAACTTAAAGGACTTTCTATGGCCAGCCTATAGAAGTTGCCAACTTGGCAGTCATGAGTTTTTTTTTCCCTTCCTTCCTTTGTTTTTCTTCCCCTGCAGGGGGGGTGGGGGGTGATCATGGCAGAATTTGAATGTTTTAATCCCAGATCAAGTTATCACTCAAGGAAAAAGTCGCCACATGATTAGGCTTCATCTTGAGCTTATTTTGTTGAACAAATTCAAAGAAAACTATAATTTCTGGAGTTTCTTCCACAAGAGTGGGCGTAGTTGAAGTTGGGGTTAAAGATTCAGTTTGGGGTTGATATTGTTAATAATTCCAATATAAGGAAGACCTACCTTTAAATACTACAATCACCAGTATGATCTACTTAAAGACTTTATTAGGCCTATATGTCATCTTCGATGTTTGAAATATGTACTATCAAAGGCCACTTATTCAGTCTAAATGCCAAGAAACAGTACAGGTTGATTCAATGGCTAACTTAACTAATTGAAATCAAAATAAATTTTAATATTTTCTGGGTTGCTGCTGCTTTTCTATTTTGCTTATAATGTTGTACTACTCAACTTATTGAGACTTTATTGGTCACTTGAAGGCCATAAATCCACTGGAGCTAGCAATGGAAGCACTAAAGGAGATCCAATCGCGATTTTACAGAGACTTCCCACCACATCCTCAGGAGCAGGTCTATGGATTTGCAACTCCTTCAACCATGAAACCAACCCAATGGAGTTGTAAGTTGTGAGCTCCCTGTAGTTAATTTAACACATTTTTTATGCTTGATAAAAATCCGGCAATTTTCATGATTATATTCAGTACTGCAGATCCTGGGGGTGGAATCAATCAAATTCCGGGTGAATGTTCCATTTCAGGAGATGTCAGGTTTGTCCTCTCTCCCCCTTTTGGTTTGCATAACTTATTGGTTAGGAATGACGTCATATGACAGATATTTGTTTCTTTGTTTGTTCTGCAGGTTAACTCCATTCTACAAGTAAGAAGCGTGCTACCTTATGGCTAAACTACCTGTCATCTAGAACCCCGTGGGTTCCATTCATTTGATATTTTTTCTTTTGCTCGTTCCTGATTTCAACCCGTGTATCACATGATTATCTGTCTGATATTTTGTTCCATTCATTTGATATTTTTTCTTTTGCTTGTTCCTGATTTCAACCCGTGTATCACATGATTATCTGTCTGATATTTTGTGAGTTCTCATATTCAATCCTCTAATACTGGTTTCAGTGTGAAGGATGTGATGAATAAGCTACAAGAATATGTCGATGATATTAATGACAACATAGAGAAGCTAGAAACGAGGGGTCCAGTTTCAAAATATGTGGTTGCAGATGAAAACTTAAGGGGAAGGTGAGACTTGTGTGTGCTCTCCCTCATTTAGCAAAGGAATCTGCTCACCTTAAATCTTTGCTCAACTTTTAATTCTCAATCTCTTTTTGATGATGAATATATGTTGTGTTGATTATTAATTGGTCCATGGATCTGATTATAGATCGTTTGAACATTCACAGAATATTGGTAAAGATTCCCTTGCTTTCTTTTACAGCCTAACTCTAACTTTTGACGAGGCTATGTCTGGAGTTGCCTGTAATATTGATTCCAGAGGTTTTCGTGTATTATGCAAAGCAACTGAGGAAGTAGTTGGGCACGTAAAGCCTTACTCAATTACTGGGACTTTGCCCCTTATTCGAGAATTGCAGGTAATATATATATATATATATATTTAGAGAAGATTGGGATACTTAGCCTTATCTAATTAATTTACTATTATTTAATGTAATCAAATCATAACAAGTAGATTTTAAAGTGTTAATAATATTAATAACAAGTTTGTTATATAATAAATAGTGCATAAAGAAATTTACTTGTTTTAATTTGCTTGGAAACAAGCATCTTAAATATATATATATATATATATATAATATTGAATATATAATTTTTTTCCTATATATTAGTTTATTTTCCATGCAAGCTGTTCACGTCTCGTCACCGTTGTTTGTCTGTACAGGAAGAAGGTTTCGATGTGCAAACTTGTGGCTACGGTATGGCCCACTTAAAGAGAAAGGATGAAATTTTTCTGTTCATTTGATTGATGCATTTTGACTTTCACAAATTGTAGTTACGGAATGTTTTTGAAAATGAGTGCAGGTCTAATGGCAACATATCATGCTAAGAACGAGTACTGCCTCTTTGAAGACATGTCGCAGGGATATGGAGTGTTTGCGAGCATCATTGCTCAGTTGGAAGATTGACAATTGTAGCGGATTCCAGAATAACTGTCGCATCCCTTGGGATGTGAATTTTATTCTTCTCTCTCTGAAACAATCTAGTAAATGTAGCAAACCAGTTCTCAATATCTGCTCTGATGATGTACTTTACTTATAGTCTTGGCGGGGTACTTTAGAGTTTCGTGTGAGCGTGCAGGTTAGATTTTTAGCTCGAAAATACTGTGTTGCAGCCTTAGGGCAATTTTCTGTCCTTTTTGTCCTTGATAATTTAAGGTGGAGAAGGTTCTGATTATATAAAAATGAACTAGATAAGGAGAACTATTATTTTATCATTAATATTATCTATTGATTTATTGATATTATTTTAATTGCTAATTATCTTTTGAAACTCCACGTAAATTTAAAAATATTCGAAATTTCTGTATGTATAAAAGAAATTGAGATTAATTGCCACAGGACGACGCAAGATAAAATCTCTCTTAGCAAGTAACATAGCTTTTCCATATTTTCATCCAAAAAAAAAAAACTTACAATCATTGGTAATTACATCAATCATACCTTGCGTCTAGATGATCAACAGCTCTTATACATAATGTGCAAATTTTTGGCCAACTTGACGTTGTCATCTCAAGATTCACTTGCAGTTTATCATCGAAAAAGAAAAAGAATTGCCCTTACACTTCATTTCTTTCTTCCAAACGGAGCTGATGGACTCTTCGACGCAGTCTAAGTCGGTGGTGATGTATCTTCACAAGGCCATGTCCCAATATAACGGTAGAGTATATGCCGTGGGTAATAATGGGGGCAAGAATATTGTTTGTCTGTCACGGTTGGCAGAAACATTAAAAACCCACATTAGTTTCAGCTTCATCCTTTGGGAATTCAAATATGCAAAATATGATTCACATTTCACCTGGACCCATTCGAAACCTAGGTAGAGAGCCAAGAGTCCTTCCAGAAGCGGCGAATAGATCTTCCTCATTTGCCTTTTCTCATACCAAGCTGCAACGCCCCAAACACATGCTGTCAATTCTCAAGAATCCTTCTGTGCCTACTGCTAATCAATCACAAAGATAATATTCGATTGCCAACAAAGTAAGAAGGACCAAGTTTAACTTATTATCCAAGAGGGGGCAAGGCCAGAATTGAACCTTCAAAAAGCTTTTTGAAGTCCTGACGGTTGGGATGAGAATTTAAAACGGGAGCAACAACGTAATTGGGATCTGAAAGCAAGGTAGAGAACAGAGCACAGAGAAAAACGCTTAGGCGAAACAATTACTCAATAAGGTTGGGACAATGTAGAAAAGGGAAAATATTGTGAAGAGTTGAAGAGTGAACCTTTGGGAGATGCAGCCATGTAATAGAGGGAACTGGTGAGGACAGCGGTAAGTACAGCAGCATATGCCTGAGCAAATGGAACAAATGCTGGTAATATTCCTGTCTGCATTTTGCAAATAAATCGACAGTTCATCACTGGAAGGGGACTCATGGCTTCACATATTAATAGTTTAAGAAGGAATAACAAAGAGAAATTATCAAAACAACAAAATAAGGATGCAAGGACAAGGAGACACATACTAGTGATGCCATTCCTCGAGCACCAGCCATGAGATTACTGCCTCGTAGAAATATATCAGCCAATGCCCCCTGTGAAATTATATTTTCAAGTTGAGATATAGTATTTTGGAGGAACTAATAATATTAGGACCCTGCTTTTCTTCTTTGATTTGAGTTAACGGACATGAAGTCTTGTTAACCTTGAAACTCTCTTATTGCTACTATTCTGAGTTGGGAGTCAAACTAAAATGCAAGTTTTCCATCAATTTTGAGATACAATATTGCAGATAACAAGCAGAAACTGGGCTCTCTCTTTTGAATAGCTTCTTTTCTCAAAAACAAAAACAAAACAAAACAAAAGAGAGGAAAGAAAACAAAGCAGCACAACCAGTGGCTCCCAATATTAGTTTTTTCAAAGCATGTTGATGGTCGATGATCTGAAATTTCATCAATTGGAATAGCCAAGTGTTAAAATCTCAATTTTCAGAAAACCCAGAGAACAAGGAAATATACTGTGTGACCTATGATTATGTAGGATCCTAATCTATCCTGGGTCTTGTTCTATTATTCTCTGAAGAAGAATCCACTTAAACTAGGTGAACTGCACAGCATAATTTTAACAGTTATGCTTTTTTTCCTATTTTAGACTGCATAAAATATCATTCATCTTGCAGTGAATTAACACATATAATACGTTTCATGTCCAAAATCTATGATTTTAATTTTCAATTTATCCTTAAAGAAACAATTTTAACAGAAACTAGGCACGGGATGAACCTTCCCTTATATGATCAAACCAGGCAAAGGAGCTTCTGAACAAACCTGAACAGCAGCCCTGTAGAAGAGCTCCTCTCCCACCGAACTTGCAGCAACCATCAGTATAAACTACAAAGTACAGTGACCTAAGCTGATTTCGATCATTGCATAAGAATGAAGAGCTATTCCAAATCAAGGGTTTCAGTAAATTACCTGCCAAGGGGACATCCCATAAAAAAAACTCCAGAGTTCCTCATCTTCGACATCTCTGATTGCACGGGCATGGGGTGAAAGCTTGACAACTTCATCCTGTAACTAGCCATTGTCAGTTAATCAATTCATTCACTTATTTATATCTAACAGAACAGGCAGGCTGGAGTGAACAGAGGAAAGTCATAGGTTTCCCGCTTTTAATAAGAATGTCCACTACATACCGCTATCATCTCAAGGAACAACAAAAATATCTTATGACAAACATGCAACGCATCCCCAGTTTAGTTAACCCCAAAAAGGGGAGCTCATTCAAATAAAATAGAAAAACACAAGCTCATAGTGAAAACACACTTACATCAAGTATAAACAGAAGAGCCATAATTGGTGGAACAGCATAACCGAGCCCTTGTAAAATGCAATCTGAAGACAGATGAAAACCCCCCATGGCGTCAATACCAGTGATCGAGCATATAAAACCTCCCGCCACAGCCATGGCACCGTATATCCCTAGCATAAGGGAACTCCCAGAACGTCAATTAAGGAAATTCTGAATGGGAAAATAGAGTGAAGGAGGTTGGAGCTTAAAAGGAAAAGCTAGAGCAAGTATGGTATAAAGGCGTGAAGCCGTGAACTAGATAAAGGCACTTCATTCCTAAAGCAAACAAGTTTATTTCCCTTACAGGACAATACAACCTTTATCATGAACTTGCCCAAAAAAATAGTTTGGCAAAATTTCCCAGTTCGGCGAAGTAATGAACTAAAAAGGCACGCTTTCGAAGTCTGAATAATCAATAAGGATTTAAAGAAACATCAAAAGCAACTCACCGATGCCATAAGTGAGCCTGACAAGAGCACCAACCTTATCCCAAACGGGTAAGTCAGCATCGTTTAAAGCGGTATTGAATGACGAACCCTCCACGGAGGGTTTGTTGAAGGGAGGCGGAGTCTCTACGTGGTGGATCCTCTTGGTGGTGGGCTCAGCAGAAGCCTTGACGGATCGGAAGGAGAGGAAGAGTCCGTGAAAAGACTTGGTCTTGATCTTGGGTTGAAAATAGCAAAGATGGGAGCAGTGGTGACAGAGAAGAGGTGAAGAGGATGAAGTTGGAGGGTTGGGGATGAAGGAGAGCAGGAGCTCCATTCCTTTGGAGGCAGTGCTAAAATGGATGACCAGTTGAGCACTGCTACCATGCTGGATCGGAGCAAGCCAAGATCATTCCTCCTTCACCCTGACTGAAAGCAAAATAAAATGACATTAATATTTTAAAATTATATATATTCTTACCTCATTAAAAATAAATACATCTTATAATAATTATATTTTTAAATTATTAAAATTTTTTTATACATATATAAAAATTTACATATAAAATAAAAATAAAAATTTAATTAAATATTTCATAATTTCTATAATATATTAATTTAAAAGAGTAAAAAATATATAATTTTTATATTTTATTAAAAACAATTAGAGAAATCGTGACCCCTGCCAATCTCTTCTCCCCCCCCCCCTGCGTGGGTCTTTCTTCAGTTTGGATAGCCCCCATTTTTTGTCCATTACAAAAATTAAATTAAAATGTGAATTTTATTTCAATGTTTCAGTCATACATAATCCCGAGGCCCACCTCTCTCGCTATTATAATATGTTGCGTGCATATGTGGCCCCGTGTATTATACCTGCCTGTTCTGTAGCGTAGTTTTTGGCTTGTGCTTTGGCGCCTCTTCATTCATAACGTATTTGCATTGACATAATAAAGAGAGTTGGGGAAAAAAAAAACCTCTTGCCAATACTTTGTCTTTTTTTATCCTGTTCTTTCCCACCCATTTTTTTCAGAGGAAATATCAATAAAGGACTTTAAAAGAAATTTAATTTTATAAAAAGATAGTTGACAAGTAAATATTAATAGTAAATAAGTGAAATTTTTTTTAACAAATATTATATCCATTCATATCTTTATCAGATATTAAAATTTTTTATAGATCCTTTATTGATATTCTCCCTCTTTTTTTACTCTCAATTTTCTTTCATTGGATTTGGTATTTTTATATCTTGTCTCTCCAAAAACTTTGCCATTCTCTCTCTCTCTCTCTTACACACACATACACACACCCAATGTCTTCTTTTTTATTTTCTTATTATTTTTTGTATACAATTGGTGTTTTACTCTATCCTATTTTTATTATAAAACATTTTAAAAAAAATCAATGGCTTCTATTATAAGTCAACAAGTGAGATATTAAATATATTTTTTCAACATTAGACTCATTTAATGTTTGATGCAATTTTTCTCTAAAGCTTCTCAGGATGCAATTTATAGTTTTAATTGTGAATTTAAATTTTTTATTTTTAAATAAAATTAATCAATCAGCTATTTTTCTTTGATTTCAATGATATAGTTAAATATGCTTATTAGGGAAAAGTATTTATTTTATGCAGACACAAGGAAAAATATTTAGGGAAAATCACTATAAAGTCTCTCATAACAATTTTAAATACTCAAAAGTCCCACTAAAAGTATAAATGGTTGTCCTAAGAGACTTGACTACAAAATAAGTTTTTGCAAAAAAAAAAAAAAATCACCATCCTCCCCATCTTTTTCTTCCTAGCATGTCATGGGTTCAACTAACCTAAGAGGGAGTAGAAGGGCGAGAGGCCATAAATGCAAGAAGAATCTTGGGTGGGTCTATGTTAGGAATGACCTTCTTCCATGCTTCAATGAATTAGGAATCTTTGACAGGAGAGGTAGGGAGATTTGTCGAGAAATTGTGAGACTTGAAGGCAAGAAGGGGATGACCCAATAAACAAATGAAGTGACGGAACATGATGTGAATTGGATCACCTAGGTCTCGCAGAGTCAAAGAGAGGGGAAGAGAGTGATTAATTAGGGAATAAGAGAGAAGAAGGTTTTCAGTTCGAACAATGAATCGAGTTGCTCAAGTTCGCACTTGCAGTTAGCACCATTGCTCACTCCCACCCTATTTCAACAAAGCTCGGTCAAGCTCATCACCGATCCTTATCACAGGTATGTTTATCTTCTCCATCCACAACTATATCCAGGAGGGTGATCAACTATGGAGGATTACCCTATCATTAAAATTGAAATAAGCTTTCTATACAAGAGAGGAGGAGGAGTTACTAGAGAAAGGTAGTGCTAGGAGTGAGTAGTGAGAAAATGGCAAAGCGCAGAGGAAGCAAGTGGAGACAAAAAAAATAAGAAGGTTGTAAAGGTAGCGACAATATAGGAGATTGATTATAAGGAGGTTGATGATGGTTAATTTGCCAATGTGTTTCTTCTTTCTCTTTATGGAAAAAATGGACAATCTAGTAATTACACAATAAAAATTATTTGATAATAAGAGAAGTAATAAAACTACTTCTTTATGTTTAATAGTAAAAATTCTCATGCTAGCCTATGAAATTTAGACTTTATGAGTCTTTATGTTTGTAATATTATATATATATATATAAAAGAGAAGTAGTAAAAATTACTTATAAAATCTTATTACAAGCCTTTATCAAGCTAATCCAAAGAAATAATATCATTTAGCTCCTTATATAGACAAACGAGTAAATGCATCCGAAGCATAACGATAAGTCCTTGTTTCGCTAGATAGTCACCTGCCACACTGTTTTCACAAATTATAGGTTACAACATAACCTCTCATTCTCTTCCCAAAAGGCTATAGATCTCTTTGACAAGATCATAGTTTTGGTGCTCAAGGTTTGTCTCATTCTATAGAAGATCCAAGGCATTCGTAGAGCCTGTCTTAAGCACAATGGTCCTCAAACCAACATCCAAAGACATTTTAAGATTAATAAACAAGCCTATAATTTAGAGGTCAAACATTCCATACTCTCTAAACACATAGTAAAGCTTTACATGAACTTGCCTTGTGCATTGTGAAGAAGTCCCCTATAAACTAATACATTTATCATTGTGGAAAAAGCATAATCAACATTTAATTTTACCCACCCAACCTCCAACACCTTCCAACCTCCTACTTACCTTGACGACAAACCAAAACCATTGTTATGTTTATTTAGTTGCTTGTTCGCTTCATAAGTATAATCAACCATGACAATTGCTTGAGAAATAACCTCCTCATGTCTTATAAACTTCTATTCAAATATATGTGAATTTCAGAATCGCCATAAGCCCCAGTAGATAATCATGAACAATACTCCCCAATCAATCACAAAGTTGCTTGCCTTCCTTGACAAATTCTTTAGTAACCAGTCCTATAAGTTTATGTTACTAAAGCTATGCCAAAGTATAGGTGGGACTAGTTTCTTCCACATTGTTTTGTATCTTCATAGTCCTAAAGCACATGTAAAATTTCCTCAAGTGCTCTACTACACAATGAGGAATAATCATTTGAGCTTATACCCTTCCTCTTCTTAGCACAGTTAGTGAGAAGACTTCCCATATAAGCCAAGCATAAAAAAGATCAACATCATTTAAGAGCTTTAATTCTCTAAATTTTCTCTCACATGGGATTCAAGCTTTAAGTGTTATTAGTCAACAAAGTATAAGCAGGCTTAACTAAGAATAAGCCATTCCTCTTTCCATGCTAACGAACCATGGCAACTCTATTCATTTATTCTAAACTAGCTTCTAGCTTCGGCCAAACAACTTTAATGCTTTCCCATACGCTAAAACCCAGCCTTTTAATATCAATTTTAGGAAGCATATCCTCATTATATTCATTCCTCACTACCTCCACCCAAAACCCATCATGTCATTTGCAATGACCCTACTCAAGCTTCATTAACAACATAAGATTTTAATTCCTTGCATGCCTCAAGCTAAGCGTACCTTGCATTTTTTTGTCTACTGACATTATCCTAAGCAACTAAATGTACCTTCCTTTGCTTACTTGAGCTATCCTAGAAGAAGTCATGGTTATACCTATCAAGAAATTCACAAGTAATACTGAGGAGTAAAAAGGTTTGCATGACATGTCCCGAAATGGTTGAAGTAATTGATGCCATCAAGATAGTACGACCATCAAGGGAAAGAGAACTAGGTTGCCATCTAGTCAGCTGAGCCTTAACTTTATCAATAATATATTGAAAGGTCTCTTTGTTCACTCTTTTATGCAAAAGAGGAACTATGAGATATTTGCCCAAATCTAGTGTGTGAGAAAAACTCCAATAAGAGCTAATTTTAAACCACCTAGTATGATTCACACTATTATAGAAAAACATCTAAGTTTTCAAAGAGTTTACCTTAAGATCGAATAAGTGACAGAAATCCCCAAGGCACTGCTTAATAAGCTTGGCTTGTTTTTAACTTGCCTAAGTAAAAAGAATAATATCATCTGTAAAAAATAAATGGAATATATATATATATATATGGCCCATTTTTCATCACGTGAATTGGCTTCCAATCACCTGAACATATCTTTGACTGAATAAGATGAGCTAATTTCTCCATACATATCACAAAAAGATATGAAGACATAGGATCTCCTTGTATTATCTCATGTGAAGGGTTGAAAGGATTAGCTTTAGTCCCATTCCATAATAGTTGCATATTTGCTATAAAAATACTATAATAAATGAGATCAATTATGTTGTAAGAAAGCTTCAACTCTTGAAGGCATTTTTCAACAAATTTCTAATTCACATAATTATAAGCCTTCTCCAAGTTGATTTTAATAGCCATAAATCCCTTTTTAATTGCATATTTCTCATTGAGTGCACAACTTCTTGGGCCACAATGATATTATTATAACTATGCCCCCTCGAAACAAAGTTGTACAAATTTATAGTGAAATCACTTCAACAAGGAAAGTCCTGATTCTTGTAGATACCACCTTGGTAACAACCTTATAGATCACATTGCACAAGCTAATGAGTCTCAAGTCCTTAAGATATTTAGGAGGATTCTTTTTAGGGATGGAAACTATTAGAGTGTTATTAATTTCCTTGGTAGATTCAAGATGATCAAAAATTGACTGTATCATTTCCATAACAGATTTGCCAATCCTATCTCACTGATGTTGGAAGAAAAGTACGTTGAAACTATCTAAACTTAGGGATTTAAGAGGGCCAATATCAAATATTTCCTCTTTAATTTCCAATTTTGTAACACTAAAAGCAGACCTCTGCAAGATCATATCATAAAGAGGTAGGTATGATACATCATATACAAGAAAATGGTGATCCTAGACCTCTTCTTGAAATAGGCAAGAAAGGTATCGAACAATCATAAACTTGATTATCTTC